AGAATCGATTCGTCGATAAATGGACGATCAAGAGAATAAAGGCAACGAAGCCGCTCGTGTAGCAGAGAGCTGTTCAAAGAGACACGAAGAGCGAGGCAAATCGGTTCTGCGCGGAGCAGAGAGCAGCCGATTGGAAAATCAGATCGGTCAAAGGAGCCGGCGATGCTTTCCACAGAGAAGGCAGCTTCGACAGCGGATTATCCATCTTCGACGAGTTGCAACGAGATCCACATTAACCAGAAGGGTAGATCGTGACGAAGATAACCGGCGAAATTCTCGATCGTTCAACCAGCCAGTGTTTCCCTCCCTCCCTTTTCTTTCGCGTAATTTATGCAAAGCTTATTCGCACCGATGTCTCGCAACTGAGCACTATTAATATCCCTGGCACGCGAGGACAGAAGCAAAACTGGGATGAAGAAGAAGAAGAAGAAGAAGAAGAAGAAGAAGAAGAAGAAGAAAAGCAAAGAAAGAAAAAAGGAGGAGACGGAAAGAAGGGAGCAGAGAGCACACGCTCGACAGATTTGCTCGGTGTGTTTCTCCTTAACAGTACACGTTACTGTACCGTGACCCCGTCGTTTTCCATCTGGCGTTATACTGCGTTACCCCGCGGTAGGCTGCACGCATTTACGATTTCTTACGTCGTGAAACGGTCACACTTTTTCCTAGGCGAGTGTAACGATATCGCGTGAAAAACGAAACGGGGGAACGAAGAAAAGGAGGGAAAAGTTTAACGAAGAAAGGGAGGGATTTATTACGAATATCACCATTTATTCTTTAACTTGTTAACCGATCTGTGAAGTGATATATTCCAACTCGTCCTCCTCGATTGAGATATAGAGAAGGTGTTAAGATTGTAGAGAATTTTTCGAGGATGGAATCTATTCGATAGAAAGATGGTGCAAGTAATATTATAGCAAGATCGTTGCATCATTTTCTCTAATGACAGAAATATAATCAAACTGATACATCATACATGACGATACATTTTCAACATTCGAAAAGAAAGAAGGAATACGGCGTTTCATCTTTCGCGAAAAATATGAAACAAATACAAACACGTTCAAATGTAACTCTAAAACTTTCTGCAAACTAAATGCACACGCAATTGCCAGTTGAACTTGAGTTTCAACCGCCAAATTAAAAGCCGTAACACAAGCAAACAAGGCGGAACAATTGAGGATACAATGAGCGCAAAAAAAAGAGGACAATTCTACTTAACAGCTACAATATATATTGTATTATACGGATTCTAAGCAGCTCCTCGTTTACAACTTTCTAACTATCTCTGCCATTGTAACGTAACACGATTCACACGGGACAGAATCAGTATATCGAAGGCGGTAACACGAACTTGCTCATAGGGGAACGAAGAAAGAAGAAAGTATGACATGACCCAGAAAAATGTTTGTCGCGCAAAGGTTCGAAGATCGATCAAGGTGGCACGAGGAGAAAGGAAATGAGATAAAAGTCCGAAGGAAAGTTTATACAAGATTATTAGGAAAGGACTCGTACTCCTCTTCTCCTCGAGTTTTTAATGTCTTGATCTCGCTTTAGTTTCAACCAAGAGGAAAGAGATTAAGAAAATGTTGTAGGTAAGAATTTTTCTTGATATTTTTCTAAAGTTTAAGAAAACTGTAGAAAAGTGCTCAAGGATGAAATAGAAGATCCCTCCTCAAATAAAGAAAATTGAGAAATCAACAATTCAAGTAACGTGTTTCGTTATTTAATAAAAATTAAAGCCACATTGAAAATGCTTTCGATCAATCGTGCAATATGACAACTATGAAAAATTCTATTTCCACTTTGGTCTCGCACAATATAGAATTTAGAGAATACATTCATGAAGTATTATGGAGAGAGTGTGTAGGGAGAGTGAGAGGGAGTGTCTCAGAATACTACAAATACAGAAATTAGATAATTCCGAACTTTTGTAATTTCTTGTAACAAGATACCAAAGATATATCTCTACGAATCAGTTCAATATATATCTTTAATCATTTCTTTTCTCATAAAACACTTTAAATATTTGTCTGGTTCTTTAACAACGTTATACTGTGTGCTCACAAGTATTCGAAAACAAAACAAAAAAAAAAAAAAAAAAATGGAAGATTAACAGTTTCAGCAAGGCGCGCGATATCAGGAGATTGGAAACACGACTTTGCATACTTTATAAAAGCGCTTCTTGTTCCACAGAGTAATTTTATTTTAAGAGAGCAATTTCTGGAAACTCGTCGACAGGCTACCCGCAGGAAGTCGTTAATATTGGGAAGTATTTCTTAACGATCTCGCAATATGTTTCTTAATGACCGTGGATATCGGGCAATATTGCAGTCAGACACGGGATTGAGCTTGCATAATTTAACGACGGATAATAATTCATTCCGGTGAACTCTCCGTTCGTGCTGACAGAAAATTGAATTAAGAATTCTTGACGCGTTTTAATATCTATCCGCTCGATCGAGAGGATAAATATATGTATGAAATAAAAATCTTCCCTTCAAATTCTTTGTGAAGTTCGTCTCGTTCTTCATTTATATCCGATTTACAAAATCAAATATGCAAGTTATTTAAAAAAAAAAAAAAAAAAAAGAATAAGTCTCCTTAAAGATCGAAGAAACTGAAATAAAAATGACTCTTTGATGTAATATCGAGAATTCCTATTCAATTCTGCTGTGATTCTCTTATTGTGCCTCGAGTTTAGTTTAGTTTGGACCGAGGAAAGTTAATGTTTTGATCGTTGAAGAATTTTAAAAATGACTTTTAAAACAAAAAAATACGACTCGATTTAAAGAGCACGGTTAAACGAAAGAATTATTGTTTACGAACCTATCAAATGCATTCGCATTTAATATCAGTAAAATTATCCGCAGTACTGAGAAGTGATTTACATAAACGTGATAAAACGTCAAGGAGAATCGCGAAATTGGTGATCGCGATATGGTGATTAGTACAATAATTTGTTGTAAGAGTTATCCAATTATTTTTTACAGAGAGATTCCCAGGATTCTCTAATCTTTATCACAAACACCACAAATAGCAGCTACAGTTCGCGACTGTAGCTATCGACACGCAGCAATCAAAAGTCAGTTGAGCAAACAACGAACACCACCTGATAAAAATTTCAAAACCTAAGTGCTAAGAGAACTGTCTGCGAGTTATTTTCTTCCCGCATGTCTTTATTAAGCGATAATGTGTAAAATGGGCAAAATAAAAAAGAAAAGAAGATATAAAAAGAAAATAAGATATAGAAAGAAGCTCGTTACACAAATCAGAGATTTCCACGATTTAAAAAGACACGTGTCGTATTGTTTCTGAAAAAAGTTTCAGAACTTAAGTGGAAGAAGAAATAGCGAAATAAATTTTCTATCACAACCGCAATTAATCCAATTTCAATCTTACTCCAATTCGATTATACATCAGCATTAACCGGTAAATTAAGATTTACGAAACTCTAGAAATTTGTATCGTGTCTGCGCAACGCTTGGCTCAATGTGGTTAATGGAAATGCAAATACAAATGGATGTCTCGAAAAGCAGATAATCCCACACAACATGGATTTCCTACGTTTCAATACGAACGTATGCAAGAACGAGCATAAACGCAGGAATCTGGAAAAGCAATTCTGTCCTTCGCGAAGTGCCAGATACGTGTATCCGCGAACGCTTTAAATCGCATTTGGGTCATGTTAGATATCACCTTCGGTTTCGCACTTTAGCTCCATTCGTGGCAACTCGCTCGAATTTAACCACGCGTCTACATTTTCCTGAAACGCGTCGTTAAAACGCAACGTTTTCCATAAACGCTCTTTTGCCGTATTTAACGAGTAATTTATATGGTATACGAGTTGTAGATTGAAAAAAAAAAACCCCTAGATTAATACGCAACGATTTGATAATTGCGGTGTCTATCAATCTCGACGGACTAACAAATATGATTCAGTGAATTAAACTTGTTCCAACTTGGAAAATTTAGAAATAAACGAATCTTTACGAAACGTTTAAACGTTTTATACTTCGTTTTTGTCCCACGACTAATATAGAATAAAAAAGTTCAGATGAAACATATAGAATGAAATCTAAGAGAGTTCAAGCATACGTTCAAGCGCGGGAATAACTCTAAACGAGATGCCATTCTGGCTACAAGATATTTCACGTTTGTAAGATCTTTTACTTCAGTGTAACGAAGCATCGTTATCAAATTCCACGACGTTGTTAGAACTAGAGTTGAGTCTCGTTGCAACGAGAATGTTCCCTTCCTTCTGTTGTAAAAGATTGTTGAGCCACAAGAAACTGCAAAGAATGTATCGCTACTGTGAGATTTTTCTCCACAAGAATGAGACCTGATAAGATGACTCATGCTACAATTGCGAGCAACACCCTTGGAAATCTTACTAATGAGGCTCGATATTAAAATATTCAAAGGGTCTCCGACGTAATGAGACCCTTGATTTTACATGTGATAAAATATCGCACTGCACGTAGAATTTTAATTTTAATTATTAATTTTAAGCGTAAAATAATATCGCAAATTTCGCTTCGTATACTCGAGCAAGCGGTATTATTTTAAAAAGAATTTTTAACATAATTAAAATTCCGCGCGAATTAAAACTGAAAATGAATGCGAATTCTTACGTTACATTTTCTGAATCTTCTGAAGCTCTTCTTATAGAATGTAGACTCTGCAGAAATTCTAGAATATGATCTTTTTAAATAACTTTGCTGACTCGAGATTCTTAAATCACACGAGATCTTTTACGCTAGCATTTTGAAAACGATATCGTGTTTCAATGCGAACAAATTGCAGTGTCTTCGAAGTAAACGGGGAAAGGATGTCTAACGTTGAATGTGCGATCTTCAATATCAACACTGATATCTATGATAGAGACGAGTGTTTACATAAGTATTGAGTTTAGTTTATTTAACTAATGTTTCTTGTTCAAATGAAAACTCAATCGAAAAATAACTTTTTACAAGACTAACAGAAAAATATTCAAACTGTACCTATACTTCAGATTGATTCTCCATCCTCCGGGTATGATCCCCTCTGAAACAATAATAAAAAAACAAATTTCTCATCTAGTTCTAATAATCAAGTAACAAATTAACTTAGAAAGAAACCGAAAGAACGTGGAGAATTTCAGGCGAATCCTGTAAAGGTTCCCCGTAAAAGAAATTATACTCTCGTTACTCGAATCGCTCGACGAATCCCTTGGCCATAATTTCGCTTGAATTAAAACCAGCGAAATTCCTTGTTAGAAATGTGTAAAAAAAAAAAAAAAAAAAAAGAAGGAGACGATCGAGCTGGATAACATGTTTTTAAATAGCAAGGAAGAGTTGGAAACAACTGTGTCGTAACAAATTTAATGAATCTAACTATAGCCGAGACCCTGCGTTTCACCGAGACGCTCAATTGCTAATTAAAATACCGAACAAAGCGAAAATAACTGCGACCATCCGAGTAAGTAACAAACAGACGTCTTCTTCTCGCGTACTGAAACTGGGCGAATTAAAAGATACGACACTCGAGCATTTAAAGCACGATGATAAGTCCATCATTAATTAAACAGATACGATGTAAAACTAAAGTAAAGTAAAGTTGTGCTTCGCGAATTACTTTACGGGAAATAATAGAAAATTCTCATGTAATTTACTTAGAACTTAACGAGCACATTTTCCATTCGTAGTAAATGGAAAAAAAAAAAAAATTGAATCACACGTGAAGCAACTAACAATAGAATTTATTGAACAACGAAATAACACTTTTGCTGGTTTCATTATTGAATTAACCAACAAGCGCATTCGTTGCAATCGCGATATGATCGAAATGCACAATCTCAAGGCGATAAAATAAAGACGAGCAGTGAATAACGTTTGCACGATATAAAGTTGTAATTACTCTACGTACCAACCAATGAACAAATCAAATACGTACGTAATTAGTATTTATATTCCATATTCAAAAGTAAGAAAGTTTATTAGTTTTATAGCAAGTTTCACAAGCTGTCTTTTATTAGAGACGCCTAGAGATTGCAACAACTCCTCATTAATTTACTACAATAATAATACGCCGAAAATAATTCTTCCTTTATTGATAATTGAAAATTGAAATAATCGATTTTGCCAGTATTTCTCATTTGATCAGTCGGCGCAAGCATCCCGTAACATTCGACGCAAGGTTGCGGTTGTTCCCTCTCGCTCCGCTTCAGAAGCCGCTGTTTAAACCTAAATTAATTAGGTAAGAAACACGCATGATGTTTCGGCCGCGAAATCGCGACGGGAAGTCGCAGGCGCGTTTTTCCTCGCCGGCGTTCGAAAACGCACGTGGAAAAATATAACGTAATAACCCGTGGAGGAAGAGCGGCCCATTTACGGCGTACAATTAAGCATTGTGACTGAATTATTCGACAAGAACACCGTGTACCGTTCGTTAACTGTGTAATTAGCCAATTGCTAATTGTCCGGGTTCGCATGAGCTGGTTCACTCGCCTCGGAAGCGTATCAACCCTTTGCACTCCGATTTTGTCCCGCCTAACTTCCGGCAACTCGAACCGGATTTTCGGCGTGTTAATGAAATGTCAGTTTCAAACGATACAATTTGTTCCCTGTTAATTGAATGAGAAATTTTTATCGTTACGAAACTGAATATCAAGAGAGATAATGAGAAATTTTTATAGTTGAAACTGAATATCAAGAGAGATAATGAGAAATTTTTATAGTTAAAAGAGCTTTAAATAAAAAAAAAAATAATTATATTCAAGAAATTGACAGTTCTTCAAGTTGTGTGTTTTTTGATTATACATTGTAATACACAATGTAATGATTAAATTATAATTAACAAGGAAAATTTTTGTATCTCTTATCATAGATGTAAATAATAGAATATTAATAGTATAATATAAATATAAGTATAATATATAGACTCTCAAAGAGTTAAAGAAAACATCCTTCCCTGAAGGATATTTTCATGATAGTTAATCATAATAATGATAATCATGATTGCTCGAGTCATAATTTGCCCAAAATTAATACAATAAAGTATTAATACAATAATGATTATAGTGTATGTTTGGTTGAAATATTTCGTGTACAAATGTGGCCAATGTAATTTACTATGATTTACTAACCTTCTCTCTTCGTGTTCTTATTCTATAAAAGGAAACGTATAACATTAAAACATTGCAAAGAGGTAGCCAAAGACTAAAAAATCGTGGCGGGAAAATTGGAATGCAAAGGACACGTGTGCATCTCGACGCGCCACGATTATCGCTGACCAACCAGTTGACAGGAACGTGCCGATCTCTTTAGAGTGGTTTGCACGATTCGACGATTCGCTTGGCAGGATAAAAACTATCCTTTTCGACGTTCGACCATAGTGCAACAATTTTTACAATCTTTACGCGTATCTCACGATCAATTTGTGACCATTCCGTCGAAAAGTATGCGCTGCGCTACATTCGTTCACTTGTACGGTTTCTGTACGCGGCATCGCTTCGATGATAACATAAAAATTTTAACTTGGTCCTTATGTTTAATTAACGATTTCTTTAATTACATTCGCTAAATACAATAACAATAACGATATATATTGTCATTCATGTTTAACTTAACGCATGCTGCGCCGGAGATATCAAATTTTTTTCAAGCAATTTTTAAAGTGATTATTAACGATAAGTGCGCACATTACATAAATACATTATCACAGAAAGATAATTCAAACAGCAATTCGAGTATAAGTAAAATATAAGAAAAAAAAAAGAAACTACGAGACGAATCTGTTTATTTTTGGGACCGTAATTAGCTAGAATTTCGAAAACTGAAGTTAAGAGACAACTCATGGACATCGCGTAACCTCGACAAATCTTCAGATGCGCTAAAAGGATATGTTCCGTGCATGCATGTGGTATTTTTCGCGGAGACGAATGCGCCGAAAAGTGAGAGGCAATATTGTCACCGAATCGATACGGAACGTTGGGAATTACATCGGAACGTGTTGTTTCTCTGTCATTCGGTACATTTAGAATGCAAGAGCGTATGTCATTTAAATAACGCCCACTTTTAACTTAAGAAGGAGAGAGTAACGATTCGAAATACGATTTTCGACTAACGTCAATCACTCGTGCAATCAGAAACATTATCATCCGTACGTGTGACAGAACGGTCAAACAACTGTCGTTTCATCGAGCATGCCTGTCAGAAAGACGTTGTAAAACCATAAAACCGATGAAATTTTAATGTGCAACAGCATCGCAAGAATTTTGTCCTGCGCGCGAATAAATATAAATTGTGCTTACCTACGTTGTCGAATACTCGGATTTTCTTAACAGACCTGCGGATAAGCACAGGAAGCACAATAACACTATGTCACATGAACGAATATTCGTAGAAACCACTGAAAACGATGCAATCACCTCGCGAAACGTCACACTCACTTCAGTCGGGCGGCCATTTTGCTACACACAGCCCGAATGAAGAACATTTTGATCTACGAAAGATAGAGGCATGAAGTTACACTACCAGGCCGCTAGTAACTTTCGAGATACCAACATTGTCCAATGGACTTTTCAATTTAGTAAAACAGATCTGACATGTTCGAAAATTGACTGGTATCGTTTAACAACGTCATTCTACTTTCCGAATGTTATACTGTGAATCATTTCTAATCATCGTTTTTTTGAATATTGCCAAGCACAATTAGTGTTCTATCTGTATGTGACTACGCATGACAGTTGTTTAACGCGTATATATGGTTGATAGGTGATATACGTGTCTCGTATAATTTTGATTGGATGATTGTACTTATTTTAACGTGCTTTTTGAATCAAACCTTGCCATATGGCGATAGCATACACTTAATGCGAGATTAATTTATACAAAAGTAACTAGTTTATAATTAGATCGGTGAAATGGCGCCTCAATTGCGAATTTTATCTAATGTCATAGAGGTAACTTTTTATATAGTTTCTATTTTTTTTATTGTCATACGAATTAACTATACAAATGATGCAAATTTGCAGCGTTTAAAAAGTATAAAGGACGATGTAACAGGTCATTTATACGGTGTTATGTACAATAACACATTAACAGTACTGACATTTAGTATAAATTTAACAGACAATGTTGAAGCTAATATAAATCATACAATGTTACAATTACACATGTCAGCAGAAGTATACCTTTGTGGTATTTTGCATGTGGGTCAATGTGAAGAAAAACTTCCTGAAATGTTTCAGGTAAATATATATTAAATATAATTTGCAGTAATGAGAAAATGTATTCGTTTTAATTTATCCTTTTAACAACATAGGACATTGATATTACGGATAATCCATTATTTTTGAAATATACACATGACAATTTAAAGACACAAGCATATTTTTATATCCATTTAAAACTTGAACCTGTTAATGACATAAAAATCATTAATGAAAATGATATTCGTCGAGAATTTATTTACATTAGGTTAAGAGGAAGCCTGCCATTAATTGCACAGAATGATAATATAATAGAAGTATTAGAAGAATCAAAAAAAAATGTAAGTTATCTATATCTCATTAAAACTATTGTATTCTAAATTAATCATTCTATTACAGATTGTATCAGGGAAAGTAGGAATTCATTTTCCATCGAAAAATGCTTTTATCTTTAATAGTGAAAATATTGAGAAAGATATATCTTTAAGAGAAATTTTAAACATATTTGATTCTGAAGGAAATAAAAATATAAAGAAAGATGTGAAACCTACAGGAATAGAGGTATATATTTTAGTGTCTTTCATTGTTGTTCTTTTGATATTCTTAAAAAGAATTATATTAATTTTATTAAACTAACAGAATGCTGTGAATGCTTATATACTTTTAAAAATATCTGGAGACAGACTTCCTGAAGAAAATGTTAGGTATGCTCCAGTACTTCAGTACATAAAACGTAAGGATTTTGATTTGACATGTCTTTCAATATGCAATAAATAAATTCAAACAAATATATTTGTAATATAGGACCATTTAACAGTTTAGAATGTAATTTATTTATTGACACACTGTCATTGGTCAACCTTAATGTAAGCTCAGCAGATCTCTATGGAATATTAGTAGAATCCATGTGCCGAAATATTAAATTGATAGAAAAATGCTTTGAGAATCAATTGCAAAAATCAGAAACATCTATAAAACTTCCACTACCCATACATTTCAAACCTCAAGGTTTTGGACATTTAATCACGGTAGTCTATCCAAGTGGTTATAGTGATAAAGAAACAAGTGAGAGACTTCCTATGTTATGTAAAATTTAAAATTTTGTATGTTTAGATAATATAATATCTGATTAAATTTCAGTGGAATATCGTGAAAATTTACATAAAATTTTGGGATTAAATATGACTAGGCCATATTTTCGTTATGGAAATGCTGTTAAATTTTATAATGATTCACAAACAGAGAGTATACTTATAAATCCTCATGAAGCAATTTCAACGAACGATGGTATGTTGAATGATCACATTATATCATATTATGTTACTATTGTTTAATGTTATCGTAAATTTTTAATCAGATATAATAAACGGTAATCGAAGAGTACAAATTGTACAAGGTTTATATACATATCATCATTATATGCAAGATAATTTTGATGATAATGGTTGGGGATGTGCATATAGGTCTCTACAAACCATTATTTCTTGGTTTAGGTAATTTTAATGATAAAATAAAGCTAAATTTGGTTTAGTTTTATTTAATTGTAACTTAATCATTACAGGTTACAAGGTTACACTGAAATACCAATACCTTCTCATCGTCTAATACAAAAATGTTTAGTTGATATAGGAGATAAACCTTCAAACTTTGTTAATAGTAAACAATGGATTGGTTCTACGGAAGTAGGTTTTGTACTAGAGAGTCTTTTGGATATTAGTGTTAAAGTATTATGTGCATCTACAGGTGAAGAAGTGTCATCATTAGCTCCAAATTTACTGCATCATTTTCAGACGCAGGGTACACCAGTAATGATTGGTAATTGACTCTTTTGTTCTTATAATTAAAAATAATCATTTATTTTCTTTAATTTTATGCATAAATAAATTACAGGTGGAGGAGTGTTAGCACATACAATTTTAGGAATCAGCTATGATCAAATTACTGGAGACGTTAAATTTTTAATTTTGGATCCTCATTACACAGGTTCCGAACATTTGCCAACTATAATAAACAAAGGTTGGTGTGGATGGAAATCAAAAGATTTTTGGAAAAAAGATGCATTTTACAACATGTGTCTTCCTCAGAGGCCAGTATGCATCTGATCGTGTTAAATTAAAAATTTAAGCAAATTGTGCGTAATAATATAATGATAATGCCCAAAAATATTTATTATTAATTAGTGAATTGAATAAATGTAACGTTTGAATCCTATAGATAGTATATATTATATATAAATATGTATTAGATTATATATAATATATACATACATATATATCACGTTAAAATGGACATACAACTTATATAAAATGTATATGCAAATTATATTTTATTATACAAGTATTTCCATATAAAAGTTGATGTCCAAAATTGTTAAGCTGAGAAATATTGTTACTTGTATTTATTTTCACTTTATAATAGCTAATATTAGTTGCATACTGAATGCATTTTGAATATAATGCTATAAACAAGTTGAGAAACATAACATTTAATCTTAAGATGCAAATAATCATTCCAATTTCCTATATTGATATTCTATAGAAGTTGATACTTGTTTGATATCTTTATTCAAACATTTTTATTCTTTTATGATTAGTTTTTACTTTTTGAATTGTTTTTCTTTAGTAGCAACAAATAAAATATATTTTAATTTTTCAAGAAAATGTCAAACGCTAATATTATAAACCAACATTTAAAATATATAAATTATCTATCTTTAGCTCTGGAAAGTCACGTATAAAAATATTTCTTAATATTTTGTAAATTTCAATCATATTAAAGTAACATATGTCACTTGAAAGAAAACATGCTGTTATAATATTATAATTGTTATGTACTATATATTCCTTTAAGGGACAAAAAATTTTGCAGCTATTTGTAAGTTAAAATGTACATTTTGTAACATATATATTACATTTTTTCTATAAATATATTTAAAAAAATGATTTTATTGAAAAAATTTATACAATTTTCTTTGTTATTTAATCAACATTAAATAATTTTTTTATTTTCCACATGCATAAACATTTCTGTTATATAGAAATGAGATAGAAAATAATTCCATTTCCTGTATTTGGTAATAACAATACAACTATTATATAGACAATTTATTTAATATTACATGTTTCCCACAGATTTTTGCAAAATTTGTGCAAAACGACTTGTAATTAAAAGTGAAACGTCTATAAATCTATCAACGCAATTAATTAGGCATGTTTCCGTTCGACTGTCCAATTTGACTCCTGGTTTATCAATACATTTTTCCCAACAAATATCGTTGAATTCGTGAATCTAAAATGTATTAATACCATCAAAAAGTTTTCAGTTACAAAACAATATTATTGATGTGTTCAATATATGTAGTGTATATATGCTGAGCAAGTTAACCTCTCGGACGTGTTGCAATAAATTTTAAATTAGTTAAAATAATTCGTAAATAACAAAAACAATATTTTCAACTTTAAATTATATCACTTTACCTGAGCTTGAATTTGTGCTTTTTGTTTCTCAGCCATAAAAAATTCTTGTAATTCTGTTTCTGCAATCTTATTGCCTTCCATTACATCCTCGGTAGACATTTCTTGAATATATTTTATAGTTTTACAAAATAATTTATTTAATATTTTATAAAATTAATAATATTTTAATCTTTTACGTATGCACGTGGTCTTATTAATTAGATAATCACCAAAATCGTTGTTTACCGGTAAGTATCTAGTATTTTATATTTCTCAATCTAATCTCACAAACTAGGGAGTTACTATATAATTACTAGACTCTATCAAAAATATTTACCTATAATGTTCAGTGATATGTTGAACACAGATAAACATATTTGAAGTATAATAATATGTATTATTTACTTTCTTAATGTATAATAATACAATATAATGTATAATATTTGAAATATAATAATATATAATATATGATTATACAATGGTATCAAATTCAAATTATCAATTTGTAATAACCAAAAAGATATGAAAGATTTATTTAAATAGTTATATATAATTCTTTACTAAAATGTACGAAAATTCAAAACAAAATTTTTTTTTTAATGAAAAAGACAGCATTCTCATTGTATTTGTATATGTACATGCGTATTTGTCCATAAATTTATTTTCAAGGAAATTAATCGCAAATTATACATTTTCATTCGAAAAAAGAAAAAAATTGAAGGTCTTAAAGTTTGATTTTTCAAGTTAAAATTTTTAAAAATTTAAAAATTTTTTTGATGTCACTATGGTCTTATATTGTAGCTTAATTGATATTAAGTAAATAATTATAAAATGAGTGTTAACTACTATATGTGTATATATATGTTAAATTCTTATTAATCTTATTTTTTTGCTATTATAGTTAATTTTTAATAATATTATGCTTTATTTCTATTTATCATTATAATAACGCTTCGTTACGTTCATGACACACGTTTGATTTATTTATTTTTCCTCCTATCTAAGATACTTTTCCTGTGTTTATTACTTAAGTTTTGTTCACTTTCTACATAATTTAAAACATAATTAACTATAAATACGCTCACGATATAAATAATGTACATAATTCATTCATCATTGATTTATAGACAGCTTGATGGCAATAAAAATGCGGCTGCGTATCGATAAATTTATTTCAATTTTAAGAAACTATCTGAAAAATATCATGGATCTTGTAAAATCAACCATTTACCATCGCGCAATGTATACGCGCAACATGTTGTTAAAACATCCACGGTACGAGAAAAGAAGGATTATGTAATTCAAGATTTCAATTCCGTCACAATCGTTAATATTTAACTAATTACCGAATCATTCCAGATGTTACGAGCCTGTTCGTGTATGGCAACGTAAGTAGTTAACTAGCAAGTATACAAGTAAGTGCGTGTGCGAGGATGAGCCGCGGAGATCAACAGTCGAGCATATCACGTGCAATTGATCATGCCACTTGTAGATACGGCCCTGAATGCCGGCTAGGCTGTTAGCCGGCGCGGAACGCAGCGGCGCTGCATTTCAGGAACCATCGTCGACGGCGTCATCACTATCGTAGTAGAATCGTTGCGTTCTAACGATCATATTCCGCTGAGGGAGAGGAACCGAACGGAGTGGAACCGTGTCCTCTGAAGGCACACGTTGGTGCCGTCCGAGGTACGTCAACGTGACGGGCGGTGTGTGCGCGCGTATTTATTTGATTCGTATATAATCATCAACACAATGACCACAACCGTGGAAGACTACTATGACGGTTCCCGGACTTTTTCCTGGCTCGCTGATTTCATCGACGTGCCGATCGACCAGGTGAGAAATGTAACCAAAACCTATATCCTTTTTCTATTTCTCTCACGGGCATCCACCTTTCTTATTTACCTTTCTACCGTCTAAAAGGAGGGCGCATCGATCGAACTTCAGATTACCATGGATATATGTCGTTTTTATTAAGTATCCTTGCAACTGAACTTGATGTGCGAACTCCTGATGATGAGATTTCACAACCTCAAGGTTAAGGTTTGTCACGCTTGGAGTTTCCGAGATAGCAACGAGCTAGTATTCTTCGGCTATTCTTCTCGCATAAAGTAGTTTTGGAGCATGCTTGCTGAATAGTAGAAAGGACAATATTGTGATCGTTGGTTCTACGATTCGAAGATTCTATGATTATGATTAATTATTCGTTAACTAGTTCTCTATACTGTAATTCACGCGGCATGAATTGAATTTATTTTGACAGGGTCTCGTAGTTAAACAATATAAAATATAGTTGCAGATTCTGTTGCAAAGTCTGTTCACATACACGATTTGATTTCTTTCTCGTGTACACATTTGTTCTAACTGTATGTAACTTATCAAATAATTTCAAATAAAAGATGATCCGGTTTTAATATTTTTAGGACACATAATTTAGCGTTGAAAAATGAACGAGGTATATAAATATATGGTGTGACAAGAAAATTAAAAATAGCTTCTCTCGGATATATTGTATACTGTGTAGGAATGTTTCGACGTTTATCCAACTAGCGAGCATGCGATTCCTATGTGTTTTGTTTTCTCGATAAGATCAAGTTCGTGCATGGTCTGGAACTGTTTCATTGTTGCGAACGATGTTAAAGGTCTCGTGCTGCGATAAAATTATCAGTAAAAAATATACAAAAAATCACGCTGTACTTGGAAGAAATTTCGTGAAAGTAATAGGCGTCATCGCACTATGAAATATGTGCACTCTGTAAATAGAATGACCGAATGAATGTATTCGGGGACAATCTATGTTGCACGAGTTTTGTATCAGATGCAACAGTTGGGAAAAACTGAGAGTACAACGTGGACCGATTTCACATAAGCAACGAACATTCACCGTATACTGGTTGTTTAGAAAGTAAATATTTTACTTCCGAGGATTAGCAGTAAAATTTGCGGAACATCTGCAAATGAAATCTATATAATACGGTGATTATTTACATATAACAATATTTATAATAAGGTGGATGGAACTAGCAATAAATGCTAAATTATTATTAGTAAATGATTACTAAATCTATAAAATTGTGAGGAGCGGTTAATTTATGAAATTAGGCTGAATCAAAAGTAATTGAAGATTTTGATAATAAAGATAGTAAAAATTTATATACTACTTAAATATGTAATCATTCATGTGTCAATCAGATTAAATTATATTCATTTGTAGGCACTTCGCGAGATTGACGAGCACAAATAAATCGGAGACGTGTATTCTAAAGGTGTCAGTCAGGCTATCCCTTTTTGCTGGTTGAACGGTAGTAATTGTATCCTGAAAATTGCCGTGCAGTAACGAGGAGCGTGTGCAATTTTGTAGTTGTTGAATAGTTCGAAAGGAGCCGTTTCAAACGGCGTTTCTCGGCGTTATTTTTAGAGTGTCTCTTTTTTCCCCATTATTTTCATTCATAGCACGTTAGAGTACAATGTATAGTAAATGAATTTCAAACGATTGGCTGTAATATCGCGACCACGATAGGCAGAATAATCATTAACAACGATAAAACTATTCCACAGGAATAATCTTATCTACGATTATGTTACAAAGTTAATGGTAGCTTAGATCTTAACCATTAAGTTCTCTTTCATTTCGATAATTGCCAATTATAATTATATTATTTTGCAAAAAGTGCGCAAACGTTCGAAATTGTTGGGCCACATAAACTTTAATCGCTTGTTAATACTTATGTCCGTTTGCTCGCATTTTCCATTTGCGAGTCGAATTTGTACAAATTATGTTCACGCAGAAATATTTCATCAATAAGGTCACATAGATATAAATATGTAATCTCGGTAGTGAAAGGGAAAAGATGAAACGCACTATGTATCGGTATGTATTTCTATCTATACAAGACGTTGTGACCTGTTGTCACTGCTTAATTTTAGAGCTACGTGACATACTTGAACGTCATCGATTTGAAACAATGCAATTCGGTGCGAGGAACGTATAAAAGAAAGGGGTTCGTTGTCGAGTTCACAGTTCAATCTCTTCATTTTCCCAATTGAATTTGCAATTAATTCAATGATTAAGCAATGTGACAAGCGATACGATCGTTCAACTCATAATATTGATAATTACTAATTGTAATGAATGTAAGAAGATCAGAGCGTAAACTAGTAAAAAAAAAGTAGTACAAGCTGGTATAAAATTAGTACAAAAAAAGGAGAAAAAAAAAAGAAGAATAAATAATGCGTAATTGTTTTTCCACGACTAGTAATGGCGCGATAATAATTGCGCGTGATTCATTCAGCATCGCTTGAATATAACACGATGACCCTGTTTCATAGTTGCTAATTTCACTGATCCGTTTACAATGTAGCGAGGAACAGGATTTTAACTCCGACGCGACATCTGTGTAAAGGTGTGATCGAGAAACGGTTATGCTATATATAAAATGCATTTTTACGATTGGTTCTTGGTAAAGAAATCTATTGAAAACCAGGTTTCAACGCGTCTCGAGGAATACGTAACACGTGCATAATTATTTCTCTATTTTTGAAAAGCGACGCTAGTTGGTTTCTATTTCGTTTCGATGGATTTTTAACCACTCACATAAGATCACATGTCTCAGGTGTAATACATAGACCTACAGATTGATGAAAAACAGTTTGTTTGGTTTATAATCTTCGTACAGGAAAAGTATTTGAATATTTTAACAAAATTATATATATATATATATATATATATATATGCGTTATATAATGCTTTTTGATATTTTATCATCTTTATGATAAGATACGAGTTTTATGATTATATTTAGATTGATTTTGAAATTTAACTTTTCCAGAACCAAATTTTTTTTGCGTTCTGCGAGAAGAATTGTTTCTTTTTACTAAGATTATTTTTCCGAGTGATTTTGTAAAGAACGTACAATGCACAAAAATTTTAGTTATGATTTATGTGTAATAATTGTGAAACAACTGGCTCTAAGTTGATAAATAACAAAGCACCGATAAATAGACTCATGATTCGAATCTATGTGTTAGATATTCAGACTGACTAATATCTCTTATTTTTTTCTATGATTTTGTCGACGTAACGATTCGTACAACGATAATATCGCGCATTTTAGAACATTTAATTGGCAGTTAGCGCCACTCTAATGCTTTACTCAGGTGTATTTGTTTCCATTTTTGTTCCATATAACACGTGATAAATTAGCATTAACATTAACATTTATTCCATACAACACGTGAATAATTTAAAATTATAAAAACATGCTACATATATTTCTTTCAACGTCGAGATTTGAATAATATTCAAATTTCTTTATTTACATAATAAACGAATGGTCATCTTCCTACGCAAGACATTGAATATTAAACTATTGCAGCAAGTAAGGTCTTTTATTATGTACTATGGTTATCATTTCACATATTTACTAACATTAGTGGTTATTAATAAATAACAACAAAGATAATAAATTCATTTACTGAGATACTATTGTATCTTGATAGTAAATATCTACTCGACGTAACAGATTATTAATGAATGACGAATCGAAAGTCTTGTTACGTATACGTGCACATTCCGCTTTGCAATAATAGATTGTCACATATACTTAGATTCACGCTGATGATCACTATAATAAATCAAACATGATTCTTCTTAATTTTTCTCGATGTCATTGGAAGAGAAGTGAATATCAATGTAATTTCGTAATAATTTCTGGCTTTGAGCGTTGCAAAGTATATTTACATAACATGTATCCTTATTGTTTTTAGTTGATCGAAAAATTTGATTCGTTGATTTCAGTACAATTATCGCGGTATTTATCAGAAATATTTATTATGTCATTATTTTTGAATCGAGTGGAATATAGATTATTCCAGTCGTAATCTAACTATTCCAAAGTACTCCGAATCGTGAAGATATTGAAATTCGATACTCTCAAAATTGAATCTTTATTTTTGGACAATAAGTTTCGCCTAATTTTGAGCCATGGAATTCTCGAATTTCATCGATCACGGCGCACGTGGACTAAAATAGTAGTTAACGAAATCGGCGAAAGATAAAACTGCAGCCAGTCACGATTCGCTCGCAACAAGGTGCACGCGAGGTGTAGTATAATTTGCATAGTGTAGCTACGAATAAACGAGCAGAGATCATTGGCCTCTGGCGAACCAAGACTACCGTGTCCAGCGTGATCTGTTCATCTTGGACCCTCGCATCTCCGTGGGTCAATCGTCATTGATACGAAACAAATTAATTTGAGAGTCGCCTGCAAAGTGCATGGAAATTGTTCATCTACATAATGCATACATTTTTTTATGTGAACACGTTTGCGTAAAAATGCGCATTTATCTAGATACAGCATTCTTAAGTAATTAATTCTGACGAGAATAATTTTTTTTATTATTTTTATTATAATTGCTAATTAAGCTTTATAATTCACCAGGTAAGTCTGCGTTAATAACGCATTGAGATTGAAACTCTAAAACCTAACAATAATTTTGAATGCCATTGGTGAAATTTTGAGAATGACGATGCTGTCTGGATAATTGTAGTTTGAAGTTAAGAAAAATTTTTGGTCGTACAACGTTTAGACACATTTGAGATCACATATAAGCCCCGCGACTCTCCATACTCTGTCAATAAACTTTCATTTCAACTCGCAATTTCATACTTTCGTTTCTCTCTGCTGCAAGTTAGCGACTCGGCAGTTTCACGTATTTTTCTTCTTATTTCACTTTTACTTGCGGCATCGATTCATTGTCGATCGAATTTCTAATTTGTCATTTTGCCAACGTTTTATAACTCGAATGAATCATCTTGAACAGTAAACAGTTTTTCA